CATTTTCGGCCCGTCTGGGAGTGAGTGTCATGCGTTCGCTTGATCGATCGCTTGATCGGTCCATTCATCGTCGATTAATTGATTGATTGATTGATCGAGTGATTGATTGATTGATTGATTGATTGATTGATTGATTGATTGATTGATCGATTGACTGATAGATGAATCGACACACGCAGTGCTCGCTCGATCGGTCTATTCATCGTCGATTAATTGATTGATTGAATGATGAATAGGCACACGCAGTGCTGGCCCGTCTGGGAGTGAGTGTCATGCGCTCGCTTGATCGTTCGCTTGATCGGTCTATTCATCGTCGACTAATTGATTGATTGATTGATTGATTGATTGATTGATTGATTGATCGATCGATCGACTGATAGATGAATCGACACACGCAGTGCTGGCTCGATCGGTCTATTCATCGTCGATTAATTGATTGATTGATTGATTGATGAATAGGCACACGCAGTGCTGGCCCGTCTGGTGAGTATTATCTGTTCGAGACAGAACGCTGAAGGAGAGCTGTGTGACGAGTAACTGTCACACGTACGGATTGGAGGGCTACCTTCTTCCACCGAATACAACGTACGGTCATGATAGTTGTATTTGGGGTATCTTTCAGTCTAAATACAGCTATATAATGATCGAACGTTGTATTCGAGAAGAGAAGAAGGCACTGCCGCGCACAGATCGTTAAGAAAAGTGACAGTTGTTATTAACTCGTTATCAAGTTAGAATTTCCACCAAGAATTTGATTTCCTGGTTGTGTTAGTTCCGTGCCAAGTGATTGATTGATTTGATTGATTTGATTAATTTGATTGATTGATTGATTGATTGATTGATTTGATTGATTGATTTAATTGATTCATTGATTGATCGGCCGATCAGTGTAGATTCGTACCAATGGGCCGATGGGAATGCTTGTTTCGTCAACATGAGCAGGGATCGACCGGTCGGTTGTCGCCAGGTCGGCTGGTCGGTCAAGCAGGGATCGACCAGTCGGTTGAGCCGGGATCGACCGGTCGGTTGGCAGACGATTTCGCGTCGGCTACAGGTCACTCACTGGTCACAGAGCGCATTCTTTCCTGCAGCAACTGCGACCGGTCGGCTGCTCTATCCCCCGGGGCGAGTCCCGCTATCGAAGAGGAATGGATTAAGCGCGTGAATCTGGACGTCTTCTACGGAGAGATACAAAACCAGATCCATTGCCATTTTCTGCACCTCTTCACCAACACGTCCAGATTCACGCGCTTCCCGCCAAGCACCTGCTCTCTCCGGTTCGCGTGAGCCTCCCACCACGCACGCGCGGCTCGGATCTTCCCGACCACGTGCTCTCTCTCTCTCGCTCTCTCTCTCATTATTTTCTTCTCCTCTTCCTTTGCTCTCTTCTCTTCTCCTTTTCCGATTTGTTGCCTGTTTGACGTTTGAATCGTTGCGTTGGAAGACTTTGTCTTATCCATACACGTGCGCTCGGTACCCCAACCTTCCCGCCAAAGCTTCCCGCCAAGCGCCTGCTTTCTTTGGTTTGCCTTCGCCTCCCGCCAAGAACATGCTGCACGGTCCACTTGCTTCCAGACCATGGGGCCTCGCCGCACTACTCACCAAGTGCACAAAAGACAAAAATGATGGCGGTGCATCTTCCCATCTTCTAGCGGAATATTCATAGTCGTTTTATACATGTGGTGAGCAGTGCGGCGAGGCCCCATTCGTGTTCCCGGTACATATTTCGCTCCTAACAGACGATGAGTCTGCCTTCCCGCCAAGCCCTTGCACTCTCTGCCTTGCCTCTGCTCTTCCCGCCACGTTTACACTGCCCACTTCCCGCCAGATTCACACTGCCCGGATTCTGCTTTTGCCTCCTCTTCCCGCCAGGTTCACACTGCCCAGATCCTCTCTTCTTTTTTTTTTTTTCTTTTTTTTTTTTTGGTCCGGATCCAATACTCATCTTCCAATCGGCTTTAGCTCAGTTGGAAAGAACACCCCCGTCCCCAAAAAAAAAAAAAAAAAAAAAAAAAACCACCCTCGTGAACTGTTGAAGCACAGACCCCAGGTTGAATCCCGATGCGACAAGAAGACTAGAATACTGTCATTCTGAATTACCCTGGGCCGTTAGTTCATTGATGATATATCAAGGCCGTCGCCCTCTGCGGGAAAAAAAAAAAATAAAAAAAAATACACGTTTTTCCGGGAAGCAACAGAAGCCAAATCCTGCACGCTGACGGCTATAAAGAGAACGTAGTTCGAAATCGGACTACATGCATTTTGCCGGGAGTGTATTCGGGGCACCTTTCAGTCTCGATACAGCGATATTGACACTAGTACGTTCTATTCGGGGGAAGACGATAATGAATCAATAGATTGAAATCCAAGGGAAGTAAGTCTCCCTGGCCTTCTTATGGCTGACTGGTACACACACAGCGCTGGTAATAGTCAGGTCGTGCGTTCGAATCCAGACGCCATGATGATGTAAGAAGCTCTTTACAAAAATATCACGCACCCAAAAAATGAAAAATTACAGCCGAATTACTGGAACACATAAAAATAAAAATATTTAAAAAAAAAAAAAAATCAGTGAAACATAGTCGATCCAGACGCAAAAGAGAAAGCCAAAAAAA